AGGAAAAATTATTCTGCTGGACAGCTTGAGCTGGACTCTGCAGTGAGAAACCAGTGTAAAATATGGGACAATGGGTTCCCAACACAACCTATGGCTACATGAACACTAATTGCTTATCATTTCACAGGCTGCTTGCTTTTATTTTACCAGGAATTTGTCCTTGCAATGAACAGAAAAGGGTTCAATGAACCATAGTCCATGGGACTGATGTTATTTAAGGTCTGGGCTCAGTGGCTTCAACCTTTACGTTTAGAGATTCTGTGTGATCAGACGGACTTCCTCCAGTGCAAGTTCCACAGGATTACTTACAATCTTCTCACCAACTACACCTGCTATGGGTGGAAACAAGCACTTCCCTACTCTGTGTAGAAGAGCCCAAAGTCCTAGTCGACCCACACAATTTGAAGATGTTTTTAGACAAGATTTGAAAAACAGCTGTTGTCAATAAATGCAATTGTTTTGAAGGGAAGTAAGTTCCTAGTGCTTCTCTCTGACACCCAAGATGTATCTTATGTTTTCAACCCTCAACCAACTGCACATTACTCCAGCACTGCTTCAAGCCATGGAGAAAGCCAGTGCTTTCCTCTTTCCTACGACTGACATCTGTAGTCCTTCTGTGTGCTTCAGCCCAATGGTTGTTCATCCAAGAGCCCTGTTAACTTGTCCCAGAGAAACCTCTCTGCCCTTTGTGCCAGGAGCAGTATTCAGAGGTTTTAACGTATGAAAATAAAGTACATTGGTATGCTTCTGAATGAAACTGGTTTAAATATCATAGTTAAATCTACTGGGATTTTCTAAGGATTATTATAAAAAGTGTGCAAAAAACCTCTAGAGGAGAGCCTGCCTGCTGTGCAAGTCATGCAGAAGGCAGGTACATCTAAAGCACGTCAGATCCTTTTGCTACCCACGCACCAAACCATTTTCCTGGTTAGTCATCCTTTCCTACCCTCCTTCTCAATGCAAACATTGCTTTCCTAGCACTCACGAAACTCACCCCTGGTGGTGGCCTTATGTAAGTGATTTCGACATGGAGAGCTCTGCCACAAACAGTGGACACGTGATGCTCCACTTAGCCTCTGGTAGCCACCCTGCACGTCAGCATGGCCTCCTGGGTGGCTCTTTGGGACTTCCACACGGGCCTTCATCTCTTACAGAAACCCAGGGCTCTTACACACTCCTCAGGGGTTTCAGCTTCTTCCTGGATTGTCCTCATCACCTACAACTCTGCCAGTCCCATAAGCACAGCACCCACCAAACATATTCACCCCTGTCCCTTGTGCATTCCATGTATCCATGTGCCTATCGCCAAGGTCTGTATGGATTTACCTGTGCCCTTGCACTGAACTCCCAATCTACTCTCCTGTTGCACTGCATGCACCTAGGGCTCCTTGCACACTTAACCTCCCTCACAGCAAAAGGCAGATAATGAGAGATGCCTTAAGCCTTCATAAACTTTTTCTCACTCCTCATCACTCTTCCTTCCCCCATAAGTGGTTTTCCTTTTCCCCACACCCAGGTCTGCAATTATCACCGGTACTTCTTCCCTCATTTCCTTTGAGCATGCTGTGTACACAAATCTCTCTTATCAGACACAACTTTTCCGTCCCTTCACCTTCCTTTGCACAGTCCTTGCAAGCAGGCACAGCCTGACAGGTCCCTTCCTCACTCTCACACTGCTGTGTGTCAACCCACACTGAGCTCCTCACCCCTCATAACAGGAACTGTCATTCCCATCCATTTCCACCTCATGCCCTACAGCTCCCAACTCCACTTGCCTCCCCACACACTTCACACCTTACTTTTGGCCTCAGCACAGCCATGTGGCTTATACAGCCCTCCAGGTAGTTTTTCCTCCCATTCCTTCTCCTCCCACCCCTTTATGTCTTTAGCCATTTCTCCACCAGCACATTTGTTCCATTCCCTCTTGCTGTTTCACTCAGCCAGTACCTACCACAGAGATATAAACACATTTGTTACATCTGTTGCAACAGAAAATCGTTCCTTTTTTGTTTGTGTATGTTCTCCTCCTCCCACAGTCTTCCCATTATTCCTTGCTTGCTGTTCCTTGCCCCAACTGCTTCCCCTGTAACTTACTGCCTATTCTTTCCCTGTGTTGCTCCTACTCTCCAGCAAAGAGACATCCCCAGTTCTGCTGAACAAACCACTGCACCTTTGCACCACTCCCTCTCTTTGCCTACTAAGAAACACACCCCCGAATTTCCCTTCACTCTCTGCTCTCGCCCTGTATCTCCTCTAAACCACCTCTTTCCTAGGCATTACAGAAAGCATAGGTCTTCATTTCATCCTCTTTCATGCTTCCTACATTCCTTAATTTTTCCTCATTCTCATGCTCCTCAACACCTGCCATGGCTTTATATCCTTGCTGTAGTTCATCCTGCCCCTGTGACTTCCACTCTCTTGAATTTCCTTCCACCACTTCCCCATGGCTTTTTCCCCAGTTCTGTCTTTTTCTTGCAGGCAGGCAGCACACTCCAGCAGACTTTCAGCCTGATCTGAAATATCTCCAATTAGTTACCCCTTCACATACTTACAGGACCCTTTTCCCCTCATCCCCTCATCACACCCTATCTCCATCCAGGTAATTTTTCCCTCTGTGTTCCTGTTCTCGGCACATGTTTCCATCACCATGCAAGCCTTGCCTTTCATACTCTGATACCTTCCTTGTAAATACATCCCCATATCTATTTCTTGACAGAATCAAAGGTGTCTCCTTTTGACGCCCCCCACAAGCATCATATAGCAGATTATTTTCCATACCTTTCTCCAAATAGCTAATACTTCACATTTTAACTCCTCCTCCAAACATCCTTTGTGCTTTCACTTTTCTCTCTCCAGTCCCACTCCATACTCAACCTCCCCCTTGCAGACACTACCATCCTTGTATGTCCCTTTCATATCCTCACTCAGCCTCCAGCCTGTACCTTTTCCCAACTCTCTCTCGTGTTACTTCCTCTTGTGAGCTCCTAAACTTTCTGCCACCCACAAAGATCCTCTTTTTCCAGTTGATGTGCAGCAGTTTCCCTTTCAAGCTGACCACCTTTGCATGTCTCACCTGCCTTTATTGCCCCAGCGCACAACAGTGAACATGTAGCACTTTATTTCTGTGGTATTGCACCTTCCCTCCAGTTTTTATATACCTTTATATGCACCATTTCATTTTTTGTTCCCTGAAGAGAAAAACACTCCAACCCACAGCAGAACAATACAAACAAAACCAAAACCCCTTAAACCTACGTGTTCTGCATACTTCAACATGTACACAAAGCACCCCCCTGCTGGCTCGGCTGGTACCTCCACTTCTCCCCATGTTTTGGCTCCACCTGCAATCATGCCTGGATTTTGTCCCCCCACCATGCTCAGACAGAGTCCCTGGTATTTACATATGTATCTCAGACCAGTCTTTTTACTACCAGCAGCTGGGACCATGCTGAACTCTTCCATTCTCTCATTCTCTGCTGCTCTGCTTTTGTCTGGCAAGGCTTTTCTTTTTCTTTTTTTTTCTTTTTCTTTTTCTTTTTCTTTTTCTTTTTCTTTTTCTTTTTCTTTTTCTTTTTCTTTACTATTAGATTTTCCTTTTCCTTGCATCCCATTTATAGGTGCTTCTTGTGCCACTTCTCTACTTGCAAGCTTGCACATATCAGGTATTTCTGTGCCTGAAAGTGCCTCTCCTACTTGTCTGGATATTTTCCTGAAGGCACAAATGCAAAGGCAAAACTTTACATACCATTTGCACTCCTCATGCAACAAATCACATGAGCCTGAGAGCAAAGAGTGTCTTCTGAAAGACTAGCTCACAACAATCCTCTGGACCGTATAATACACATCCCTGTCTATTTAAAAAGGGGGGGGGGAGAAGTAACCCCTCACACATACACACACACACACACACACACACACAGAGTCATCTCTAAATAACTGGTTTTGCAATATAGGAACCAGACAATGTGCACATAGCAGACCTATTCAATCCAAAATATCCATTACTCCAGATACTGCATATTTATAGTTATAGCTTTTATATAGCTTTCCCATTTATTTTAATGAAGGATTAAGAACTGATCAGAAAACTATCTAAACCATTCAAGGACTTTTTCCCCTCTTGGCTAAGAGCAGTTTGGTGTCTCCATAAGGACTCGCCAGTAACTGACGCTTCAAGCTGCATTTCAGCTGCTTAGATGAGAAACAGCTTTCTATTTTGCTCTCTAGATGTGCATCTCTGTTGATTAGTTGCCTACTGCATTCCTAGAAGGTACTCACCAAACGCTGGAAGCTGCAATGTAAGAATAGTTTCCCTGCTATTCCAGCACAGAGTGAGTGTATCTTTTTCACCTAGACACAGATGTGCAGGGAATCTTTTGATCTCCAGCTCTTCCCACAGAATTTAGTGTTTGGGTTAGAGGAGAATGAGGATTAATTCAAAGGTCATGAAGAGGGTTTCCAGTGTCTGGCATACACACAAAGTATGAAAGCTCCAGTGAAGCTGGTTACCTGTGGCAGGCAAGGTCTAGGAATTGGGAATTTTGGCTTTGCTTGTCACGGGCTCTAACTTTGCTGGAGGGCAAGCATGCTATGTGTGCTGAGGCTGGTTCTTGCAAACCACGGTCAAGATTTTCAATCCCTTTTGTTATATCCGAACTTGCTGGTCTCCCTCTTAAGACAAAACCTAAAGTCTCCTTTGCTTTTTCCTCTTAAATCACATTTCCTGTAGCACCTTGCATTTCTCCTTCACCACTTTCTTTCCAGGGACCCAAACAACAGCGTGAGGAGCAGGAAGAGAGGGGAACCTCAGGACTGAAGCAAACTATAGGGCAAGTAGGGGTGAGGGAAGGAGGAGGCACAATGGGAAAGGCAACATTTGGGACACATCTACCCCTTAAAAGACTCGCACCTCCTCCCCATTATACTTCTTTAAAGGCCCCCCCCCCCCCCCCCCCCCCGCTCTCTTAGGACCCCATTAGAAAATGTCAAATTTCCCTTACCGTGGTAGGAGTAACCATGGCATCCGTGTGAATGTTTCCAGAAAAGTCGACATGAAGAGAAAGGTGGGTGTAAATATGTTCATTCAAAGTCCCAAAGTTGGTCTGCTTGGGTTGTGGAGAGTTGCTCTATGGGAGAGGAGCCTTAAACTCTGAGTCCTGTGAACATAATCTGCTCGATTATAACAAACCAGCTCAGCCAGATGGCTCTGTGCTTCGTGGATTAACCCCTTTATTGCCACACTTTGCTTTTCCTACCTACCATTTATAACAACCTTGCATGGCTGGGGAAATTCAGAGAATGAGACATTTTTTTGAAAATGGCAATACTGTCTTAAGGTTCTTTTTCCCTCTGTGTGCTCTATAAAAACATCCTGTGCCTATTTTATTTTCCTTTTTTTTTTTTTTTTCCCCAAATCCAATTGATGGCTTTATTCCTCTTCCTGGCAAAACCTCTTCATATTATTAAGAACATTATTAGCACCAGGGAACATTTTAGAGAATTCTTTTGTTAAATCACCACCATCCCTTCCAGACTGCGATTCTCAGCAGATGAGTATTTTATTGCAGGAATGTCTCCGTGTTTGCACTCTAATGGTCCATCCACTCCCCCCTTCCTGCCCCTCTGTCCCCCACGCTCCCTCTGTCTCCCACATGCACACACATGCACACACTTTGCTCACACTGCCAGCATGTGCTGCTATTCCTACCTGTGTTCACAAGTCACTGTAGGACATGTCAAGCAGGTGAAATAGAGACACAGAGCTACAGTGCCACAAGCCCCTGCTCCCTTGTTCTGACTTCCCTTTTAACATTTTTTTCCAGTTATTTGCAAATCTTTGACAAATTTATTTCTTCAGTCAGTATTTCTGTCAAGAAAGTCACCCGCCATGACACAAAAAGAAGTGCTGGGGGAAACACTCACTGTTAAGAACAGACTTTAGGATGGATTTGTGTACAGTTCCTCCTCTTTTGACTTGCAGATTTGTCCATTAAGGATGGCAAGTGCCAAAAACATGGAAAGTTCATCAGCAACCAGCAGCGACTGGTTCCCAAACTTTTTATTTAGAGAGATCGCTCACAGAGATGGCTGATAAATTTAGCTGCATGCCTCTAAGTCTCTCTCTAAATTTACATGCTTAAGTCATCTTTCTTTTCTGTTTGATTTGAGCTTAATTGAGCAAGTCATAACCATAAGAACGTGGTCATATAAGATACGAGGTGACACTTTAAATCATAAGGGTCACGAAATTGTTTCCTTAAAGAATACTTTTACTAGCTCAATAAGTTTTTTCTGTTCCTGTTTAACCATGGATTTTTTCTCTTTCCCTTCCCTGTTTAAAGATAATTAGCCCTCTCCTGCTATCAAAGCTTTGTACCATCTCCTTTAAGACATTTTAATCTACCTGGAAAGTTGTCACAGTTTTATTGAAATATTTACCACCATAGATTGAAATACAGACAATGTTGTTAGTTGCAATTGTCCTTTCTCTGGAATTTTTCAAGCATAAAGTGATCCCATTTAGAGGATTCTGCAATTTAAATGGTCCTGCTGAGGGGATTCCACAATTTGTGTCCGTCTCACAAGTTCCGCCTTTCTCACCCAGATGGAGAATAAAAGTCATCTTCCACCACCACTTCCTAAGAATTCTATACTAAAACTTGCTGCTCTGTCAATTTAAAAAAAAGCAAACCAAACAAAAAAACCCCAAACCCCCCCTCCCACTAAATAAACCAACAAACAAAACCCCAAACCTCCTCAAACTTGTGTAACTCTAGTTCCATTTGTTTTTGTCTCACCCTGTTCCTGAATGCTGTTTCCATCTGATTTAGAGCTTTTTCAGCTAAGATGAGGGAACTCAAATTAAATCCTGTGCATCCCCCACCCAGCCCAAGCACTGCATTCAGATCTGAGAAATACCTAAAATGTGACTCAGCTTTTAATCTACTGAAGTAGACAAACAGTGCTAGGAATAGAAAACTGTCCTGTGGCTGGTGAACAAACGTTCCTCTGAAGGTAGGCAAAGGGTTAAGCCACTGAAGGCAGCCCTAGCCCAGGAACTTCACATTTGCAGTAACGAAAAAAAAAAAAAAAAACCACAGAAAAAAAGAAAAAAAAAAGCAGCAAAAGAAGAAGTCTAGAAGCAAATAGAAGCAAATGACCTGGGCAGAAGGGCTGCCTAGCTCTGATGGGAGTCAAACCTCCCAAAGCTTGCATAAGTGGAGGGGTTTTGCCCACTGTCTGGGTCTGTGGGCAATCAGACCCCTTGTAATTTGAGATGTGACACCTTAATCTCGCCAAATATGTGTGCACTGCAAAAAGCATTGTAGACAGCCTGTTTTCCCAGCCAGGGAAAATGGAGACGTGTTTGGTCCTTGCCGTTTTCCAACCTTTCCCCTACAGATGTTTCTGTTGTTCTGAAGCTGCTTCTTTCTAGGTATTTCTACATCTTCAGCTGTTATTCTGGGCGTGGGGTGGTTGTTTCCCTCATGTTAACCCTTAGAATAGGTGGGTTTCTTTCACACTTTCGGCAGGTTTCTGAATTCTTAATAAGAAGCAATCCAGCTCCCAAATGGTCACCTTATTTTAACTGTCACCCTTGGATCTGAGGTTCTGACATGGAAAAAAAAAGTTAAATATAAAAAAAATTAAAAATAAATTAAAATATTTCTTTTAACAAGTCCCTGTTCTGTCTTGAAGAATCTGAAACATTGCTCAAAGCATGCTGGAGAAAGTAATCTTTGAATTCTGGGGATTTTAATTGGGATAATTACAAGACATTGATCTGATTAATTAGGCACTTGACCAGACTTCAAAACATGTGATATTTTATATACTTTGAATACATGCATTTTTCTCTACATATTAACAAATACCACTGTGATTTCATTTGATGATAAAAAATTGAATATTTATGGGGAAGACATGCGTGTGAGTATGCAAATGCATGCACATTTTATGGGATTTAATGCATACCTTGGGTTATTCTAAAAGCAGGGAGTGTGTTCTATAATGGTTAGCTTTTGCAACAGCACCACTTCGTGGTTGAATTCCCAAACAGATCCGAAAAAGGGGCTGTAGGGACTGTAGGGACACCACATATGTCTCAGCAAGTCTGAGCAGTTCCCATGGTGGTTGGTTTTAATATCCTTTGACAAAAGCACTTACCTGGGATGGAAATGTGTTCCAGCCATATGGTCCTCTCTTTTTAAAGATGGTGGGTTTAAAGCAAAGGCAAGGAAGAAATCGGAGGAGAAGATTAGCTCTGAGCATTTTGACCAGCTGATAATTTCAGTATAGGAGGCTGTTCACCTTTCGAATGCCAAAATCACTTTTGTTCTAATTTTCAGAATTTTATAAAGGGCCTGACAACATCTCTAGAATTTTTTTTTATACTTGAAATGTGCTGCAAATATTTTGTTGGAAGTAAAAAGGAATCCAACTATCTTTTTATTTGGTGGAAATGCTGGTGGGAAAGAATAGAAATTATTTATTTAAACATTATTTAAATATTGTTTGAAGAATACCAATGACCATTTTTCAGAGCTGAAGAAATTTCTGAAACCTCATTGGCATCCTCACTTGCACCCAGGCCAGGCAAATGAGAAGTATTAGAAAGAATTTCCAAGCATGATTCACAAAGAACTTCAAGCTTATTTTTGTTACACATTTCTTGGAAAGTTGTCTTCTGCAGCTTTCCCTCTTTCTTGAAAATAGTTAGGACAACTCATAACAATTAACATAGTAGATCAAAGATGCCACAGTGTAAAATGTGTACCCAGAGCTGTAGGCATGCCAGGAGGGAGGATGGGAATAATGCGCATAAATAAGCAGGAATTCTAGGCACACCCTGAAAACCATTATTCTTCAGAGCTTTTTCTAAAAAAAAGGCATTTTACAGAATCAGCTTTCATTATTTAATTAGCAATTCACCTTCAAACCTATTTTCTAGGCAGAGAATTAGCAAAGTGAGATTAAATGAGATTATAATAATAATATTAATTAAAATAACATCCAGATGCACTAAAATGCACCTAGTAAGTACAACTACAATAACTTTCTTGCATGAAAGATTTTACACACAAGCAGCATTGCAGTACTCAGACCAAAATTTTAATTGTTTTACAAATATTTTTCATTTAAAATGAAATTTATTGATCTGTACTCCTGTATCAAAATAAAGCTATATGTTAAGTGATATACAAAAAGGGATTTACACTCTCCAATATGTAGCTGTGTTTTGGCAGTACAGTTATGGATGATTACAAATCTCTCGAACGTACTAATGTGTTACATCACTTATCAGCTTAGCTCATATTTTGGATTTAAATGATATTTGTCTTTTTCGGTTGCTATCCTTTTATTTTTCAGAGATGGTGTTTGTTGCAGGAATAATTCAGAAACAACATTAGTTGATGATAGGCAACATTTTGGGAAAAAAATACATTCCTTGTAATTATAAAATACTTTGAACCCCTACTCATTTTTTATAATTCCACGTGAGCTGAAGAGGACTTGCATGACTATCAGTAAGAAAAATGCTGAGGAAAAAAATAAAATTAAAACCATATGAAGAGGTTTGGTTCCATTACTTATGCTAGGACTGGGAAAAGGTGCCTGCAGTTTTTAATGATGGAGGAAGAGGACGATTTGTAGTCACAGCACCATTCTTTTGTGAAGAAGATAAATTCCACACTGGGACATATAAGGAGATACATAAAGTGCTTGGTAAGATGTCAGCTGGGATGCTAGGACTCAGTTCTGACCATGTTCAAGTCAGAGAAGACCTGGAAAATGACAGAAGAAATTATTAAATGTCTCATGTAGTTTAAAATATGGTGGAAAACCCCAACAGAGTAAAGAAATCAGTGAGGACTCACAAGGCTATAATGGACCCTCGCCAGGGCAAGGGCAGGTCTAGGTGTTCTCTCTCCCCCCATTTCTGCTATGACTACATGACTTAAACCATCACAGAAAGCAAATATGTTCAGGAACATCTTGTACTCAGGACGCTGGCATAGCTTTTGAAGAAAACTTCCCAGTGAAAGCCTTCAGGAAGTTTCCACTACATATTCATACAACTTGGTTTGGGACACTTAATATCTTTATCATGGG